AATAGTTGTCGGAGCTGGTCATAAATGCCGTGCAGTGTTTGTCACCCAGGGCCATCGGTATTTGGTTATAGCCCGAGTAGGCGTCCATGAACGACAACGTTTTGTAGTCGGCCGAGTTGTCGACCAGCATGTCTATGTTAGGCAAAGGAAAAGCATCTTTCGGGCAAGCCCGGTTGAGATCGGTATAATCAACGCACATCCTCCATTTTCCATTATTATTTTTCACGAGTACAACATTTGACATCCAGGTGGAATACCGGGCTTCAGAAATAAAATTTGCCTCTAGGAGGTCTTTTACAGCTTTTTCAGCAGCCTCCGTTTTTTCTGGAGACTGCCTACGCCTACGTTGTACTACGACCCTAGCGGCTGGATCAATGGCGAGGTGGTGACAGGCGACCTCAAGGTCGAGTCCGGGCATCTCCGCGGCGCTCCAGGCGAACAGATCAGCATTCTCGCGCAAACAGGCCTTGATTTGCTTCCTGGCCAAGTCGGGGAGGTCTTTGCCTATCTTCACTCCCTTGGTCGGATCTGTGCCGAGGGGGACGAGTTCAAAATCCCCGTCCGGTATTGGTCGGAGTGGGATTTGCTCGCCGCTGGATGGCTCGTCCTGGTCGAAACGGGTGTCCAGAGCTATGGAATCGACTTTTGGTGGAGCTTTCTGGACTTCTTCCTCGGGGGATGCTTTCCTGTCGGGCTCCTGTCTTGTCCTTTTGGCGGGTCTGGTCCCTATGTCAACAGTATCGTGTCCCTTAGAAGCGGCGTTGAAGCACCTGCGGGCAGCGGCTAGGTCTCCTTGGATAGTAGCTACCCGTTCCCTCTTGGTGTAGAACTTCATCTTCAGGTGGACGGTTGAGGGTACCGCCGTCAGCTCTGCCAGTGTCGGTCTCCCTAAGATGTAGTTGTATAGAGACGGGCAGTCGATGACAAGGAAGCGTACTTTGACTTGTCTTGTGGCCGTCCCTTCCCCGAACGTAACCAGAAGCTCGACATATCCCCAGGGTTTAGAGGTTGAGCCGTTGAAACCTTGTAAGTCCGAACCCACATATGGCGAAAGATGTGAGTCGTCCAGCTGAAGGGTCCGGAACAGTTGGTTGTACATGACGTCAACGGAACTCCCTTCGTCGACCAGGATGCGATGTACATCAAAATTGGCCATTCTTGCCCTTATCAGTAAGGGGATGACCGCGTTCGGGGCTCCGCCGGGGAGTTCTTCCAGGTAGAAGGTGATGGGCTCTGACCTGCCCTTCACCCTTTCGAACGTCACTGTTTGCGGGGGAGCCGCGTCGACCAGTTCGTCCAGCTTCCTTTTGGCTGAATTGATGGTCAAGTCGTTGAACCCGCCGCCGTTGATGACCAGGGCGGAGGGGAAGTATTCCCACCTGCTGTGCGTTGTAAGTGGCTCTTGCAGGTGCTCGGGGAAGTCGAAATCCTCGGGCCTGGTCACGGAGAAGGCAGTTTGGATGGGCACCGACTCGTCAGATGGTCGGGCGTCTTCTTCTGGCTCCCTGGCTTCTTGGGTGTCCCGACGGGGAGCGTCGCTTCGCCGGTACTGCGCGAGCCTCCCTCCCTTGATGAGGGTTTCAATGGCGTCCTTGAGGTGGACGCAATCCTCAGTCAGGTGACCATGGCTCCTATGGTATTGACAATATTTATTTTTGTCTGCTTCGGGCTTGGCGGGAGCAGGTCGGGGACGTTTGACACCGCCGTCCTTGAAATCTGTGCTGGCACACTCCGCCAGAATGCGCTCGCGGGAAGCCGTGAGCGGAGTGTACTCGGTGAAACGCCCCGAAGGTCCTCTTTGTTCCCGGACTTCCCGGGGTCTGTCTTCCTTCCTTTTCTCCCCGGTTCGTCGAGGAGGAGCCTCTTGGCGCGAGCTGCTGTTGGGACCACGAGTCCTGGAATCTCGGGCTCTGTTGGCCGCCTCCCTCTCCTCGTAGTCCATGTATGCTCGGGCCTTTTCGAGGAGGGCATCAAATGTCCGAGGTGGCTCGATACCCACGGCCTTTCTGAATTCTGTGTCGGGGAGGAGCCCTCTCTCCAGCAAGTATCTTTTCATATGGTCCGCGCAGGGGACCTGTATTGCTTCGCGGTTGAAGCGGTTGATGAATTCCCTCAAGGTTTCATCTTGTCTTTGGATGATGGCCTCGAGGGCCGCCTCGGTCTTCGGATGGCGCCGAGAAGCTGTGAAGGAACTGATGAACTGGTTCTTCAGGTTCCGCCACGACGTGATTGAGCCCGGGGCGAGTCCTTTGTACCAGTCCATTGCCGCCTTCCTGAGAGTCGTGGGGAATAGACGGCACTTGATGGGGCCCCCCATTGTGATAGTGAAGCATAGCCTCGAACCCGTCTATGTGGTCGACCGGGTCCGCGACTCCATCGTACTCCTTCAAGTGAGGGGGCTTCTGCATGCCCGGGGGGATGGGTGCCTCCATAATAGCCTGTGACAGGGGACCGCGGGGGTCGTCTTCGTCGCTTCTCTCCGGAGACAGAGATGGGGACCTGTAATATTGTCTGGCACGACGGTCCAGATCGTGCTGAGTTTCTCTCGAGCGGGATGCTCGGCTGTTGAATTTCACGCGCCCATCTTCGGAGTGCCTTCTTTCTAGTACCGCCGGGTCGCGACTGGGCTCTCCGACCTGAATGATGGGCTGCCTCTCCAGGTAAGGCCGTCTCTGTTTTGGCCGGGGAGATGGGCTTCGAGAGGTCTCCCTATAGTGTCTCCGCGGGGGAGAGGGGTGTCGAGCTTCAGTGACTCGAGGAGGGGGAGTATGTGGTCTCCGATGCCTCCTCGGGGGTCTTCGCTCGTCTTCAAGCGCCTTTAATCTCTCTCCTTGGGCGAAGATGAGATAGTTCGTTTGATTAATTGCTGCGAACAACGCTTGTATTGTGGCATCCGCCCCGGAGGGGACGGGGACTTCCTGGAACCGGGCGGCTCTATAGTGGGCGAGAGCCGCCGGGTCGTCCTCGAGTGATGGTGGGAGCGAGGAGGATGATGCAGTAGCTCCGTCCCTGTAGGAGGAAGTTCCGGGGACGGTTGTTGCAGGAATGGTGTTGTGGCCGGGATTGCCGGCGTTGTCAAGATGTCCGTTTTTGTCCGCCGTGCCGTTGTTAGTGTCGGCGACACGGACGTTCTGCTCATCGCGAGCTTGATCAGCCATGACAGGTAGTTGAATTTGAGCTTTGGTCTTTGAGTTTGCAAGACGGGGAAGCTAGTTTCCCACAGACGGCGCCACTGATCTAACCTGATCAGACTTGGACCGTCACGGCTGGCTCCGAGCTGAAAGTTTGAACGAGGTGGGGGAGGTACCTGCAAGACACTCCGATGCTGAAGTAAGTAAGAGCACGAGCAGACAATAATAAGAGTATGGGTAGAATGATGAATACCTGACCCTCTGGAAACAAAGGGTATTTATAGCCCCCAGCGCTGGGCCAAGGTTCCTTCATTGGGTCGGGCAGGTTTGGCCCAATGGAGGAACTGCCAGGCTCTACGTGCGTAGTGGGGACCTGCACGTGGTCCCCTCCCTGGATGTTCTGCGTGAAGTGCGGGCGGACAGAGACGCGATCTTTTCGGAGTCCCGTTGAGAGTGCAGTGGACTGGGTCTGCCCTATGAGGGGTGTTCGAGGTGAAGCCGAGCTGGGCAGTAGGAGGTCGAGCAAGTAGCCCCAGGGAGTACGTCGGGCACGACTGCGAGCCTTTGGTCGACGTGACCCCCAACAAGTCCGTTTGGATTGGGCCTCATCAATGCTATTGGGCCAGCCGGGCCCAGTCCAGAACAGATTTTAATGTAAAATAGTGTATATTTTGATGTTTAGATATTTATTGAGAGTTTGTAAGATCCTCTTTATTCTACATCATGATATTGTATTCCTCTTTAATATACAACATGTTATCGTACTTCATTTGCTCCTTGATTTTGTGGGACTAACTTTTCATAAGCAATTGTAGAAGTTTTTTTTCCCTCTTATTTATAATAAACATAATGAGACAAATGAATAGAAGCACACGAATATTTAATTTTGTATTTAAGAATAATAATAATTTATTTAAAAATTATATATATATATATATATATATATATATATATATATATATATATATATATATATATATATATATATATATATATATATATATATATATATATATATATATATATATATATATATATATATATATATATATATATATATATATATATATATATATATATATATATATATAAAAGTTAGCTAATTTGTGTGTTATAGTTAATTACTAAATTCAAAATTTAATATATTTTAAGTGAGTATATAATTAATAAAAAAATATATTTATTTTTTTATCAAAATTAAGTATTATTTTTTCATATCTATTTTAATATTTACGAGTAGTTGTGAACGTATATATGAGATATCAGTTGTAGATTGTTAATTTGAATGCTCATTTTTATAAAAAAGTTTTTTGTTATTGTTTAATATAATTGAAGTTAGAGAATCGATTGTACAATTTATTATAAGTACGAATCAATGCTTAAAAAATAAATATACATTATTAGTCTATATTTATAATTATGTGAATGTTAACCAATTGAAAAATAAATTCAAACTATATAAATGATAGTTTGATAAGCGTGTAATATGAATCCAGACAAAATCCGTGCGATAACACGAATTTCTTTCCGGTTTATACTAAAGATAAAAAAAATTAAATTTTTTTTCATGTCCATCACATGCTAATTACACCACGATACATTACATTACATACATGATCACATTTTTCTCTCATTCACAAAGTCAATGTAGAGTTAACAAATTGGCATAAAAGACAAATTACAATTTCATAAAATATTTTGTTATCATTATACCATCTCACATTATTACATGGCCATGCAATTTTCTTCTCACGTATGAAACTTTTTCACAAAACTTCAACTTTTTCTTCATTCACTCTCACACGCACACTTTTTGCAGTCACACACACATTTCTCACTCCACTAAAGGACAAAAGCATAACAAATTGAATGAGAAAGTTCGGAGAATGCAGAAATTCACACGAAAATCACCCAAGAATTCCTTTCATCATTCTCCTCTCCTTCAATCTTCACAACCAACTCTTCCTCTTTCAAGAATCATTCTTGATAACAACTCAACAAAAACCGCAACAACAATACTTCAACAACAATAATAAAGATACGAAGAGAAACTAAAAAGGAAGTGGATAAGAAGCTTTCTGCAGAACTGAAAATACAAACAACCCGAACCGAAAACGTACCCAGATGCAGTGAAACTTAATCTGTTTCTGAACCACCTCCACGTCACTTCTTGGCGCCGTTCGATTCACGACCACCACACGTGTCCGCCTTGCTTCCGCCATCTTTGTGAAAAGGACAACCACTACTCAGAAACTCAAATGCCACCATGGACCACCGCGAGCATTCCATTCTCTTTTCCTCTTCTCGATTGCTTCATGTGTTTCTATCACTGATTCTACTTTCTTTGCAAAAAGATAGTTTGATTCTATTTTGAGAAAGAGAGTTTCTACTTTTTTTTATTTTGAGACCGAAAGTGACGGATGAGGGTCTGATCCTCTTTCTCTTTTTTTTTTTGTTTTTTTTGTTTTTTTTTTTTTAATAAAAAAGGTTGCCACGTTTCGCCCCCCCATTGGACATTGGATTTAAATTAGGGGTGAGCCTGTACAGAACCCCTATCGTGTCCACCATAAGGATAAGATCTTGTGGCATTATAAGGCCGGGTCATGGCTGTTTGATCTCCATCAGACAATACTGAGCATTCAATGCCCTTTTGCCTTGTTTTTTTCTTCTTCTTCTGCTTATTGGGCTTATGACTTGGCCTTCCTAATTGCTAAATTCTTACCCACTTGCTTGCACCTCATCTCTCTAATTTTTTATTTTCTTATTTTGATTGATCAATTTATTTGATTTATTTTTTATATCAATTAATTTAATTGCATTTTGATTTTTATATTTGTTGTTAAATAAATAAATATCAACACCAATACTCCATATTATTTTCAATAAAATCAGACCATTTTCACATTTTAATCAAATTCTAATCGACTTCAAATCTATTTCTCAATCTAAAGTCGGATGAAAAATGAGGATCGGATGTACATCTGTTTTATCCCCGAATAATCGAACGCAAGATGTACATCTTGTTTAAGGTCAGTTATATGTCTTCTGTTTATTTTCTTTTTAATCAACATTTGAATGAAAAAGGGGTAATCAGACATACATCTGCTTTGTCCTCGAATAATCGGACGCAAGGTGTACACTTTGCTTAAGATCGGTTATTCATCTTCCACCAAAGATATTTTATCTAAAACTTGGATGAAGTGTGGTAATCAGATGTACATCTGATTTGTTCTTGAATAATCGAACACAAGGTGTACACTTTGTTTAAGGTCGATTATTTGTCTTCCATCAAGATATTTTATCTAAAACTTGAATGAAAAAGGGTGAATGGATGTATATCCATCTTATCCTTAAACGCTTGGATGCAGGATGTACATCTCGTTTAAGGTCAGTTATTCGTCTTCCGCCTAAAAACAACTTCAGCTCATAAAACCTACTTTTTCTTCCCTAGCGCGGCAAAAAATATTTTTCATAAACGAACGGTGTTTTATCCATTCCAATGCAAAGCACAAACAACACTTTGTTCCTCTCATGCGCTAGTAGCAAGTAACGTTTTCCGCTCGAATGCGATCAAAACATAATTAGATGGATTTCCATATCATGTTTTTTCCATTCCGACGTGAATCACAAACAATGTTCACTTATCTCATGTGCGTGTAGCAAACAACATTTTACCGCTCGAATGAGACCTAAACATATTTTGCTAAAATCGACCAACAAACAAACTTTTGCTACCCAGAACTACATAACTTTAAGTTCCCCATTGCACCAAGGGATACGCAGGAGCGATATTTAATGTCTCGTCAAGCACCCTAATAAAAAATTATTTTTCCCCTTTTTATATCTTTGTAAATATCTTGCAATAGTTAGAAGAAACAAAATACTTTAAGCAAACACACTTCTTCACAAATCTAATTAAAAGGTTTGTGTTAGATACAACAGATATCGTAGGGTGCTAATATCTTCCTTGTACATAATTGACTCTCGAACCTGAATTTGGTTGTAATGACCATATTTTTGTTCTTTTAGGATTTTATCGATGTTTTTCCTTTTAAAAATAAACTTTGATGGAAACTTCATTGTATTTGAGTATTCATTCACCCTAGTATTTTTGCGTCACGATAGTCTCCACATAGATTGTGTTATTTTAATAAGGTTTATATTGTGCATTTAAATGTAAATATTGGCGTGTTTTCAAATTGTATTGTGAATTAATTTGCACGAATAAATTTGATTTAAAAAAACCACTTCAAGAAAATAGACGCAATTAGCCACAATGATTGTTGTGAATTCAATGCCAATAACAAAGTATAGAATAAGGGAAGAATGAAGAACAAGGAAGAAGAAGAACACAAGAATTGGTTATAACTGCTATTCTTTACTTTCTCTTAGAAAACAAGATTACAAGTTTACAAGAATAACAAATAACCCTCTCACCCTAAATTAGGATTTGCTGTGATGGCAATGATGAGAGACTAGTATGCTATTTATAATAAAACCTAACATACTAACTAATGGGCTTTTTCCACAAGGCCCATTATACAAGCTAACTTAACAAACAAGCTAACTTAACAAATTAGGGTTTAAACACTAAAACCTAATTCGACAAGCATCCTTCGACAAATACATGCTAGACCCTTCTTCGACTACAGCATGTACTTCGACCATACTAGAGTTCGATCCAAAATCCCACAAATCTCCACCTTGGACCTAACTCTACAGCATCAAGAGACACTAACTAGCTTTCTTCATGCAGCTTTATCAACTGCATACAATGGAAAAACTTGCAACTTGGCAATGTTTTGGTGATCATATCAGCGGCATTGTGATCTGTCGAGACCTTCAGAACTTGGACTTCTCCACGCTCGATTACCCCTCTGACGAAATGCAGCCTCACATCTATGTGTTTGGTTCGCTCATGATAGGCTGAGTTCTTCGACAGGTGTATTGCACTTTGACTATCACATTTAACAGTGATACCTTGACCTTGAAGTTTCAGCTCCTTTGCAAAACCTTCAAGCCACAATGCTTCTTTCACAGCTTCAGTTAGGGCAATATATTCTGCTTCAGTAGTTGATAAGGCAACAACCTTCTGAAGAGTTGCTTTCCAACTAATTGTTGTACCAAACATAGTGAAAACATATCCAGAAATAGATTTTCTGGAATCCATACATCCCGCATAATCAGAGTCAACATAGCCTTCGACTGCTGCTTTACTATCTTCACCCAAGGCTCCACCATAAATTAAGACTCTGTTCAGAGACCCATTTATGTACCTTAGAATCCACTTTAACGCTTGCCAGTGAGCCTTTCCAGGATTCGCCATGTACCTGCTTACAAGACTTACTGCATATGCTATGTCGGGTCTAGTACAGACCATAGCATACATCAAAGAACCAACTATATTAGCGTATGGGATGCTATTCATATATGTTCTTTCGACATCAGTACTGGGACATTGATCAATACTCAGCTTGAATTGAGGGTTCGTTGGAGTCACAACAGGCTTTGAGTTCGACATACCAAACTTGTCAAGAATCTTTCGTAGGTATGCCTCTTGAGATAAGCATAATTTCGACTGCTTTCTATTTCTTCGAATGTCAATTCCAAGAATCCTAGATGCAGCTCCCAGATCCTTCATGTCGAACTCCTTATTGAGTTCAGCCTTCACCCTCATTACATCTTCGACATTGTTGCTTGCTATCAGAATATCATCAACATAAAGCAACAAAATTACAAATGAATTTTCAGGTCGAAATCTGGAGTAAACACAATGGTCGAACTGACTTCTAATGAAACCTATGTGTTCCATGAACTTGTCGAATCTCTTATTCCACTGTCGAGGAGATTGTTTAAGTCCATATAAAGATCTCTTCAGTTTGCACACATAATCTTCTTTCCCCTTTTCGACATACCCTTCAGGTTGCCTCATCAGGATTGTTTCATCTAAGTCACCATACAAGAACGCAGTCTTTACATCCATTTGTTCCAGTTCAAGGTCGAACTGAGCCACCATGGCAAGCAACATTCGGATGGATCTGTGCTTCACAACAGGGGAAAATACATCATTGAAGTCGACACCTTCTTTCTGAGTGAAACCCCTTGCGACTAATCTTGCCTTGTACCTCTTCGACATTACTCCTTCAATACCTTCCTTAACTTTGAAAATCCACTTACAGCTGACTAACCTTGCCCCAACAGGTTTCTTGATTAGTTCCCAAGTGTGATTATCATGAAGAGATTTCATCTCATCATGCATGGCCTTTAGCCATTCAGTCTTCATTCGACTCCTTATAGCTTCCTTATAATCTCTAGGTTCTTCGTCTAGAACTTCACTTGCAGAGATTAAGGCATAAGCTACAAGATCTGCATATCCAAGTCTCTGAGGTGGTTTTATGACTCTTCTTTGCCTATCTCTCGACAATAGGTAGTCATCGACAGTTTCCTCAACATCATCAGAATCTTCTGTTTCTTCTTCGACTTCATCTGGGATACGCATTTCAGCATCAACATGCTCCACCTCAACAGGAATCTCTACCTATTCCAGCTCTTCGTCAGCATCATCAGTTTTCTTGAAAGCCATTTCAGTTTCATTGAAAACCACATCTCGACTGGTGATACACCTCCTGTGACCTGGCTCTAGGCACCATAGCCTATAAGCTTTCACTCCTTCAGGGTATCCCATAAACATGCATTTCAGAGCTCTAGGTTCGACCTTGTCTTGCCTAATGTGAGCATAGGCTACACAGCCAAATACTCTTAGTTTGTCGAGATCTGGTGGATGTCCCGTCCAAACTTCTTCAGGTGTCTTCATATCTAACGCTGTCGAAGGACATCTGTTTATCAGATATGCTGCTGTCGAAACAGCCTCAGCCCAAAACACCTTCTTTAATCCCGCACTAGTCAACATGCATCTAACTCTCTCCAAAATAGTTCGATTAAACCTTTCAGCCAAACCATTTTGTTGTGGAGTACCTGCGGTAGTTCTGTGCCTTGCAATACCAGAGGCAACACAAAAACTGTCGAACGCCTCATTGCAAAACTCAAGGCCATTG